ATTTAAACAACATATGAAAATGTAGAAGAATCACTATAGGTAAATAATTTATTTTTAATTTTAGCTATTTTCAACAATATTTTACTTATTGTAACACATTTATACTCTGTAGATTTTGCTTTTTGTTTTCATATATTTACCTGGACCCATTTTCCTTTGAAACAGCTTGGAATCCAGTTTCTGTAGACGTGATATTAGTGAATCAGGCACAAGAGACCTTAGACGTTGTTTCATCAGTCCAGAATACCACGTAGTTTTTGATAACTACAAAATGGGAAAAACCTTAAATTACGGTGTTTCCCCGAAAATAATTCCTATAGCCTGAAAAGAGGACCTAGCCCAAATTTAAAAATGATTTTAATCCAAGCCCTACCCTTAAAATAAGATCTAGCCGATAGCGTGAAATTTGTTTTGACCTAATCGAATGCAAGAAATCTCTCTTACACGTTTCAAATGGTTAAACTAAAACGCGTGAGAAAGGAAAAGGTTCAATGAGTAAAATCTTCATTGGAATTTATGAATCTAGTGACTGGCATGACATTCCAGAGGATGATGATATGGTCAATTTTGAATAATGGCAGTTTTTTGTTTAATAAAAACGTGTTATTTTTAAGTAAATGGATATCGGGTTTCATATTTTGTATATTTGAAAATCTCGTAATTTTCTACTTCGTAATTTGGTTTTTGATAAATGGCATCCTCCCATATAAGCCCTAGTGTTATTTTTCGAAAGAAAATTAAAATAAGATCCTGTCTTATATTTGGGAAACACGGTGTATGTTAGCATTGGTTGATTAGAATTTAATACTAGTTACAAGTGGGTTCAACACACTTCTATAATTTAGTCTCAATTTGAGTTGTTATCTTCATCTCCACCGTACCTTTCCAGCATCGATTTCCATGCCCTCTGAAATACAGCTTTTCTGTAACTGACTTGCATTTGTTATCAGTGCAATTGATGACAATAGTAGGAGTAATTCAACAATTGAAATCATGCTCATTATGACCATAAACGCTTCGTGATTTTTCTAATTTACCTGTAACAAATAGGAAAACGTGTTGTTCGTATATGGGTTTGCTTTGTATAAAAGTTCATCTGTATTATATGTATCAAACAAAGGTTCTTTAAAACGCCTTATTCAAAACATCTCAACTATATTATCAAAAATTAGAAGTTTATTTCAATGAAACAACCAAAAATAGAATGAACTGTTGTTCACATAGCTGCAATGTGAATGCTGCTATAGTCTATATTCTATTGTGCTGCTTTTATGCCTCCCAAGGCCCTTTTTCATTTCATAGTTCTTGAGTAGAATCTTACTCATTGTTTTGTTCTATCCTTCTATGTTTACTTTACGTCAAAATGAACTGTTTATAATTTGGGTGAAGATTCTCTGAGTCAGAGGACGCACAGGATACACGCAAAAAATCAATTCATGTTGTGACGTGGCAGTTCCACATAAAATATCCTGATTCAGTAACATTTGAATGAACTAGTTTGAATGAAATATATTTTATTCGCATTGCTCAAATTTTCTGTATATATATATATCTATTTGCTGCATTGAGGTTACATATTATTTTTTGCTGCATTTGGGCCACTCGTTTTCTGTGGCATATAGTGAGCTACTCACAGCGTAAATTTGGGTGGTTTTCAGTGGGAAATGTTTTGACAAAATTTCACGCAAGTAATACAGTTTGTTTAAAATATAGTCGAGTTGGGGCCCAATCGTCGTCGCCCAATTCCGAGAGACTATTTTTTTTGGCCTATTTGCGGGAATGAGGAACATTATTGGATATGGTCGTCTCATTGTCCCTCATTAAAATCGTCCACAGCTACCGCTAAATGCTTCGCTTGTAAGGTAAATTAAACCCCGGTTACAATTTGTACGCTGAAAGAGCCAAGAACAGTGGTTTGCATGTTTTAGGGCGTGGCTGAGGCTTGGCGTCTGACACTATTTACAGCATGATATGTTGTTATTTTGGCGTCACAGTTGATCGCTCGCTGAGCGATGTGATATTCATCCGCCGCTGATTTTGATTGCCTGTATCTTCAATTCTCGATGCCCTCACACGAAAGTATTTGCGTATATACTGTATATATATATATATATTGTGTATGTACGTAGGCCAAAGTGTAACCTGAAAATAGCTTCAATAGCGATATTTGAAAGTGGATTCTAGATAACAGATGACAAAACTTACATAATTTCATAAATTGGATTGTCTGATATATGACTTATTGCTGAAAGTTAGGAAGTTGTGAGTTAAGCTTAAAACACATATAAATCAGGGAATTCTCAGTCAAACTTAAAAATTTTTGCATCAGTCGATGTGGGAATTTTGTATTTATATTTTAAGGGAGTGGTTCCAATTAACTATTTGACCTTTGACCTCAAAATAGAAAATTTGTTCTGTTGCATTTAGATTAAAAATTTTGATGTATTCGGATAGATTTCGACATAAGAAAGCTAAAAATGTCATTATCATTAAAATTTGTTGAATAGTTTTTGAAAAATTGAATTTGAAATTTATTTTTTTTCATCGTTTTTTGGTCATAACTTTTGATATAAACAATGAAAACCAAAAATGTTAATACCATTCAATTGGTATTTCAGAGACGCATTCAACGATACTTTACTCGATAAGATTGGATTTCTAGAAAAGAAATTGAGAATTTAGAAATTTGCAAATAAATGGGGTTAGAAAACTAGTTACGCGTATTGAAGATACTAGGGTTTCATCGGTTATCACAATTTTATGCTTTCAATATTGTTTTTTTTTGTTGCATTCAAATACATTTGACTATAATGAGTGCATTACACGTGCTTTACACCACTTCTAAGCAAAGGAACTCGAAAATATCGATTTATGATGGTGAGGTCTCGCAAACGCAATTTTCGCCATAATTATTAAGTTGTCTTGCGATAATTTATTGTATTAGCAATTGAAAGTATTTATATGAGCAGGATATACCTATATCTAGTATTTTGGTACTTCATACTATTAAATCAAACCATCACCTGAATTATTACCCCTTCCTTAAAAAAATATAGTTAACATATCGGGAACGAGAAGAGGAATTGGTGACGTATGAAAACTCAAATTCCCGCAGAATTAAGTCCAATTGACCGGCCTAGTAAGGCAATAAACTTTTCCTATTTAATGCAATATTTATTGTTGTTATGACCGTGAGTTTGCATAATTATGTAATTAAAACTGGAGAACAAAGGGAATGAACGTGGAAAAAGAAATAACTTGGCATCTGCATGGGTTAATTGACCTGCGGTGTATAAACTGGCCCATAATCCGCATAATGGACGATAAGATAATTGATGAAAACAAAATAAATGAGATGAATATAGAATCGGGTGAGCTAACAAAATCACAAGTGAGGTTAAAAGCGCACAGATTTCCGATGGAAAGGTATTGTTAAACGGGTATTACGCGCTCGCTCACCTATTATTCCATATTCTTTCAATTGTGAGTTACCACGATAAAGATATCTAAAAAAAAAATATACGAAAAAAAAAACAGAATGTAAAAACAAAGTAATACAACGGGGACGTAGCCAGGTGGTGTTTTTTTTTTGTATTATACATAACAATTTATCATAGGTCGAAAAGCTTTTTATATCCCAGAGACTCCATGAGAACACACGTTTTCCGGCGTTTGGTCGAGCCCGCTAGTTGTTTCGATTTAAAATGGCAAATAGGAATTTCAGAACCCCCCTCGAAAATTTCTGAATACTCCCCTGTAACACGATATCAGCATCGACGACATATACATGTCATATTTTTTGCGTCTTATGCAAGTTCAGTAACAAGTTGTATCTCAGTTGTTATCACTGAAATAATCACTGAAACTGTCTTCTTTTTTGGCATAATATTTTCACCACAATTTTGACTGCAAGTTACCTAAAGAGATTTTTGGCATTGGCTTGCTCGACAATAGGTTAGTATTAATTGTAAAATCGCTGCACAACGGCTTATGTATGACATTGCAGGTAAAGTATCGTTTGAGCAGTCCAGAGGATTATTTAAAAAAAGCAAATGCATGTGACACCACAATGCCATTTTCCGCGCATACGCATAAAGATGCTGAATGTAACATTCCATAGAATTCTATTTAGGCAACGAGAATCTCCATCATTGCCCTTACCTCCACATTCTCCGATACCGTTTGGGATTGTACCAGCCATGATTCAAAGGTAATAAACGAGAAAAAATCAATCGGTTTGCAATGTATGCCCTAGCTGTCACTGTAAATTTGCATGTTTGAACATCGTTCCGCAAGATCATTCACTTCTCAACCCATAACGGCAAAGGACACATGTTGTTTGTGGTGCACCTTGTGACTTAGTGACTGTTATGTCTAACGACCCTCGATTCCAATTCAACCAATTTTTTCATTGTAAGCATTTTATTGCCAAAACGAAACGGACAGTAAGCAAATTTATTAAAAAATTCAAGTAAGCGAGTAGACTTCGTCAAACAATTTAACTTGTCAACGGAATTCGCATACAAAGAGATGGAAAAAATATTGACACAGGTCCGATGTTTGGACATTATTTTACAGAAATACTATAAAATGAAATTACAAATTTATTAATAAAAATAAGTAAGCGAGTAGAACTCGTCACACATAAGTTAATTCGTCAACGAAATTCGCATACAAAGATATGGAAAAAAATTATTGACACAGGTCCAATGTTTGGACATGATTTTACAGAAATACTATAAAATGAAATTACAAATTTATTAATAAAAATAAGTAAGCGAGTAGAACTCGTCACACATAAGTTAATTCGTCAACGAAATTCGCATACAAAGATATGGAAAAAAATTATTGACACAGGTCCAATGTTTGGACATGATTTTACAGAAATACTATAAAATGAAATTACAAATTTATTAATAAAAATAAGTAAGCGAGTAGAACTCGTCACACATAAGTTAATTCGTCAACAAAATTCGCATACAAAGATATGGGAAAAAATTAGTGACACAGGTCCGATGTTTGGACATGATTATACAGAAATACTATAAAATGAAATTACAAATTTATTAATAAAAATAAGTAAGCGAGTAGAACTCGTCACACATAAGTTAATTCGTCAACGAAATTCGCATACAAAGATATGAAAAAAAATTACTGACACAGGTCCGATGTTTGGACATGATTTTACAAAAATATTATAAAACTAAATTAAGAAATGTTACATAATCGATATAATTTAAGTATTCCACCGGAACATGATATAATAGAGAAGTGGTTTTCAAACGATGGATGTGGGGAATTGGCGGTCTTTGACAATTTTTGAGGGGGGTATAAAGCTTAATTGAATAAATATGTGAGATTTGAATTTGCCCGCCTTATTTTGAATATATATGTTCCATTCACACATGCTGTGAATAAAACATACATACGCCTTACTATCTGTTATTCATAGCTTATTTTAGCTACAATTATTTTTAAGGTGGGTTGCAAAACTTGAAAATTCTAAAAAGGGGGCTCATCTTAAAAATTTTGAGAACCACTATCATGGAGTGTAAAACGCTTTTTTGTTTTCAGTCATGATACTTGTTTTTCACAACTATCGAGAGGGTTTTATTCACAGAAAGCTAAGTTCAACAAAAATTATGATGAATGTATATTTGTGAAATTAAATACATAAACCTCCCCCACGAATAATCCATTCTGTAATTCTACTGGCAAATCCAAAATTATGTTAGCATTTTAATTAAGTTAATGCTGTCAGTATTTCAATTAGAATAAATGTATTTGCTCAATATTGTATTTTGAGCAAAGAAATCTGTTTTTGATGCAATCTAATGCTGTCAGCTGTTTTTCTGATAAATTTGCTGCCACTGATGTCTAATTTAAATTTGCAAGCCTTTTCTTAAAGTCCTTTCTGAATTTCTTCCTCTCATTACCGTAAATAGCTTTGCATGAATTATTCTCAATTTACTTTTCCTGTCTTTAACGCCTGACAGTATATTCTCCTTTTGGAGAAATTCTTTAATGTCTTTGTAACCTGCATAGCAATTTAGAACGCATTAGTCTGAGAATAATGTAAACTGCTCCAAGTCCTCGTCATCCAACAAACTTTCTATTTTCTGACTGATATTGACAAAAAGTAAACTTTACCTGGTAAGCTACCGGTATTATTTTCACCAGAAGTGTCTTCAATACAAGACTTGAAATGAGTTAACAAAGCTGCAGTGTCACTGCTTGACCATCTAACATATTGTCGTTTTCTGCGCTTAGTTGAAGTACTTGGCATATCTGAAACCAAATAAATGACACACTCATTAAATGATTTTCTACATGTTTAAGTTTTTAAATTTAGCCCCAACACCAAACTATTTACACTATTTAGCTTTTATACGTAGTTCCATATATTAGTGCACTTTTCAAGACTTGGATAGAAATACTTACCATGACACATCTCAAATTCAGTATTCAATCCCAATCCTGATGGCATACTGTCATCTTTAACACCCGGCGTTTGTGATACTGCAGATGATTCTCCTTCTACACTATTTAGTGTAGATGATTCTCCTTCTACACTATTTTCTTCTTCCAAATCTTCAACACCCGGCGTTTGTGATACTGCAGATGATTCTCCTTCTACACTATTTCCTTCTTCTAAATCTCCTGTTATGTCTGGCTCTTCCGTCCCTGAATTAAAAAGATTCATCAATACCAACCCATGATTATAATAACATACCAAATTTCTTGTTTTGTGCTTGGGAAAAGGAACATGTTTCGAATATTGATGTCAGAATCCTTTCGAATTTCGGAGTTTGCAAGCATATCTAATGCTGAATCACAATCGGGTGGCACCAAAACAGGTACCATACGGTTGGTGCCTTTTCCTCCTTGGTACATTATTTTAAATGTACTAAGAAGTTTTTTCTCAGCGTCATTAACATATTTGGCTCTTTGAGAGTCAATCCATTTCTCCGTTTTGGCATCACACCAATCGCTCATTTGGAGTCTACATGGCTCACCCCCTCGTCGAGCATTAAAAAGAGTGAGTCTAGAGACTGTGAGGTCCCGAATAAATACAAATGTTTCTGGACAAAAAAAATCATACTGATTATTCACAATCTGTTGCAATTTATCTACAGTGTAGTTTCGTATTTTTTTCACAGCGTCTTCGTCTGGTAATTTACCAGGATCTCTTTGCTTATGGTTGCGGTTTTGCAGCAGTAAATACTTAGCATCGCCAAATATGCTGATCCATTTTAGTTCAAGTACGTCAACAAACTTGTCGATTAAATCTGCGCTAGAATCATCATCACCAATTAAATAACTTCCCTTGACGACCTTCGCAGACAATTTGAGCAAATTTCCTACACTCACTTTAAGACCAGCCTTAAGTGTTCCATCTTCATGGGTTGTCATTGATTGTATAGCCTCTTCTAAAGCAGGGAAATTCTGCCTGCGAAACATCTCTTCAATTGGCAGAGTTTTATCATTTGTAAAAGATATAAAATGGAAGTATAGATTAGCAAGTGTACGCATTTTACACATAACTGCCTTTCGAGATTCAGCCAGTTTGTCTTTTTTTCGCTTATGTTTATTGAACTGGCTTCTTCCAATCAGTTTAATTACATCATTTTCCTGACAGAATTTACCAATCCTATCACCGCTGAACCTCGATAGCAAATCAGTGAATTCCAACCCATCTGTATCATTTTTAATCAATGTTGCAGTTATTGTGATCAAATAAGGGCACTCTTCGAAAGCAAGAAGGGGACCTGGATTTTAATCTTTGCTGCCACCGACAACAATGATACCAGCTGTAGCGAGGAATTCCTCAGAGACACTGGCGGCAAAATTAAATCTAGGGATATAGAGATAGACGTGACTCTTCCAAGTAAAGCACCTTTCAGAATATCTATACGAGATATTCCGCCTGAGACGCCATACCCCAAAGCCGCTTCTAAAATCAACAGCATCGGTTTTGGAAAAATCAGGAATGCGGTTCGAAACTACTACAGGGGAACTCAAGTGTATAATGGTTACACATCCTTTCTTATGGAAAACTTCAGAAAAGAAAGCATGCCGGACTATATTAAAATCGACGGAATTATGTGTAAAACATATCTTCCCCGAGAACTGTACGTACCAACGTGCGGTCGATGCCTACAAACGGGGCACATCTTTGCACAATGCGAAAATGAAGCCGTTTGTAGGCATTGTAAAAAATCTGGACACGTTCAAAAGAACTGTACCTTGCGGGCAAAGGAGTATCCTGCCCTAATCAGCTCGGGAAATGGATGGGCCTTACCAAAACAGAGGAGAGGAGTACAGACACAACAACTAATTGTCCCAAACCCTGCTGGAAACCCACCCCCATTCAACGGACAGCAGCCAGTACATAATCCAGAAAAACCAGGGGAGATTTTTGCTCAGAAGAAAACTTCAGAGAGCGACACCAACAAACAAAAATCTCAAACTGCTGCTGAAGTAACTAAAGAAGCTGTAAACACATCCACAGTTCCCGAAAATACAAAAATAGAAGGAAACAAAGAAAAAATCAATCATGCGGAAAAAACGGACCAATTAGATAAAGGCAATCAAAACAAATTAAACGTAGACATTTATGAAATCTCAACCACGCAACTCTCTACTGACTTGTCAAAACAATCCAATGATTGGTCAGAATGTTCTGAAATTGACAACGTCAGTCCTATAAGAACCTCGCCGCGGCGGATGAAAAACCAGCAGTTACCACGTTTAAAAACAACATCGACGATTGGTAGCACCCCCTTCAATCCACCACCAAAAGGAAGGACTTTTGTCAAAGTTATGGTCCATGACTACGAGTCGCAGGACACAACACCGTCCTCACTCTTTGCCGCATCGCCCCAAGAGATTCTCTCGGCCCCGGCAAATATGGAAACAACTCTGCCAAACCTGGACCAGGCCCTGGCCCTAGACGAATCGCCCCGAGTAATACTACTATAGACTATAACAAAAGACATAGAGAAGACACAACCTCTGACCTCTCTGAGTCGTCTGTCGCAAGCAGCAACCCAAAAAAGGGTGAGACAGGTAAAAAGAAAAAAGAAAAGTGAGTAAACCCTCGTTTTTCTAGAACTGTAAACTCATTCTGTATAACATTATCTCTTTGTTAGATTTAACTCGTTTTTTACTCTACCCACCATAACCCGTAGGATAGTCAGCTAAATAACATTCCAATATGGCCGAGTTAAATATAATTTCCTTGAACGCCAATGGCCTCGAACACCATCTAGCGGAAATGACGGCTTTCATTGAGCACGAAAAGCCAAATACTTGGAATGAATTTTGGTCAAAAACCTCTATATAAAACATGGGAAGAAATACAGCTAAAACTAGTCAGAACTATAAACTATCTTAAATTCCGAAATCTTACATGGTTTGGTAAGCAAATCATTATAAACTCGCTATTAATGTCGATAGTAATGTTCCATGCCAAAGTTAAACCACTCCCCCCAATTGCTATGAAGGAGATAAACAGAGCTCTCTTTCAATTCTTGTGGCATCCCAACAAGATAGAGGCAATAAGCAGAAGAAAACTCCAACTACCACGAGAGGAGGGCGGTAAAAACATGATAGATATAAAAGCTAGAAGCTAAGAAGCCAAACTAGAAGCATGCCGGGTTGAGAAGATGAAGGCGCTGGTTAATGGAGTCAACTTGGATCAATTCTGGCACCTCGAATCGCAATATTCACTGGGGACCAAAATTAAACAGATGAACCAAAATCTTTATACAAACTCAATGTCCCACGCTGCAATAATTCCAGCATACTGGCGGGATATCTTGAGCATATATCAATCAACCAACTTTTCGTCGGGAGAATGGGAGACAATTAGGCACAGGGATATATATTCAAAACTAAAAAGCAGACATCAAGAACAACAACAGGAAAACATTAACTGGGAAGATGTCCATCTGATGGAGAACACATCAAGAACATACTACACAAACGCCGAAAGGATATGTTCCTATCGCATTGTGAGAGATGGATACATCTTCGGCGACCGTATGAGGAGTATGTCCCTTAGATTCGATACTTATGGAAATTTGAAAATATTAGGGTGCAAATTCTGTAAAAGCCTTGTCGACAACACTAAACACATATTCCTGGACTGCCTTAAAACAAAAACTTATATAGCCGAAATTATAAACGTACTCAACCGTATATTAAGCGTCCGAATTAAGATAACGGAAGAGGAAATTCTCTATAATAGCTATATCGGCCCCAATGCAATAGTTGTTACCAAATGCTTCGTCATAATGAAAAAACAATTGATTGGCACAAAAATAAAACTTGATATTCAGAATAAATATATGACCCCCATAGACGACAATGTAGTCTCGAAGACAATATCCCTATTCATACAATTTTTAACAACTATGGAATACAAATTCAGCAACCTCCAATTCTTTGGTATACTAGATAACTGGAAAGAGATCCTAAATGGATATTTATCATCATAATTTTGATCCATGAAAAAAATCTCGACCCACCGCGAGCGGTAGCATAATTGCTGACCGCAAATGCCAACATTTTAGACCGTTTTTAACAACCGTAATACCATCTCACAATTAGCGGATGTGATGAATCGGAAGCTTCATGGTTGATGTCGTGCTGTGTGCGTGTTGCACGTCACGCAGTACGTACGGAAGCCGGGGTGGCGGAAGTAGCGCTGTGCTCTGCATGGCGCAGACGGAATCCTGGGCAAAGTTATGCTGTGACATACAGCATATACTGAACCCCGGGGTGGAAGTTTGTGCCGTGCTGTGGCGCGGCAAATACTGAAGCCACCATAAGCATATGACTGCTGCTTACGCAGTGGCATGCTTATGAAGCGTTATACGTGTCATTAGACACTGATCCGAGCTTTGGAAAACTCTAATCCGCATAATTAAAAAAAAAAAATTAAAAAAAGTAGCAATCTAACAGACAAAAACACGGTGGTTGGTTGCAAAATTGTTCGACAAAGATATTATCGACGTATTGAAAATGCGCGCCCCCCTATTCCCCTCCCTTAAATGTAAAAACGTTGTCTACGTCGCTTTTTGGATCTTGCCTTTTGGCCAATGTCACGAAGTAAACGAGGAAATCGATGACTGGGGAAAGGCCCATGCTTTTTTTATGACGGGGCAACGTGGAATTAAAGCCTCAAACCTTGAAGATTTAGTATTATATCGGGAAATTTTACGATAAATATGTTTATACGCTCGTATTTATAAACATTGATAAATAGAATTTATGTGGTCTATTTTAACAATTTTATAATGATGTATATTTGTCGCCACAATGTAGCAAAACAACTACAGGAAAGATACCTAGGCTTAAATACTTTCGGCTTCTTTGCTCGAATATCAAATAAAACATTATTATGTGGTAGATTGTTGAGAATAAAGTTGAAATTTGTACTCTTTGCTGAAAGGATTTATAAAGAAAGTGAAACACAAAACTATGTGGGAATAATGCAAAATGTTGTCCAAATATTTTCAACGCCCAAATACAGCAAAATAACTTCGCGTTGCCGACCAAATAAAGAAACTAAAAATATATATATACAGTATTGTCCAGTTGAGCTTTTTTGCTCGAATTTCATAGCAAACATTACGTCGTAGATTGTTGAGAGTAAAGTTGAATTCCGGACTCTTTGCTGAAGGGATTCATAAAGAAAGTAAAGCACAAACTATTTGGGCGGCAGAAAA